ACAGTTAGAATGAAAATTGGCATAATGGTATGAATTGTGAAAAAACTGTCTTGGCAAGACTGTTGTGGCAGCAAGTGATTTTTAAAGCAATTAGTTCTTTGATGAAATAGCTGTTATACACAAACCCTAATGATGCTAACAAATGAGATTCAACTCAAGAAACAGGTAAAAACCTTACCAAACAGAAAATAGCATTTTGAAGCTCATGACATATGAAAACAACAACTTAGAGATGCAGCCAGCAAATTCATGACAATTTGAGGCAAATGATATCACACACAAATTGCAAATAGATAGGACAATGATTCAAAGCATATGGATCATGTAGACATGGATTGAAACAGAATGTAGCATGTTTGGCATCATGATATTTTGAAAAATGCAGGTGAGGCACAACAAAACAGTTTGAACATAAAATGGAGATTTTGGACTTACAAGTACCATACATAATCCCTAAACATAAAGACAAATGATTCTCCAATCTTAAAAACAACCAAAGATGCTTCAAACCAAAAAAGACATGTTGATCCAAATTTGACAACAAAACCATCAATATCTCATGATAGGCCCTAAAGTTCAAACTTCATGCTCCTCATATTTCCACCAAAACAAACATCATGAACAAAATCAAACATTAACCAAAGACTTGAGATATAAGAAATAGCAAGCATAACAACTCAACACCCAATTCATGGTAATGATAGGCAAGATGACACCAAAGTAACATAAGAGCCAAAACAAGATCCATATTGATTCAAACATGATCAAGGGCAGGGGGATCCTATGAGTAACTTATAAGTTATCCACATTTCACTAATGAACTAAAACTAACAAGCCTAGGGCATGCTCATCAATACTTCCATGTTGGATTCCTAAAAAACTACCACATGACCAAAACCTCAAAACGAGTTAAACATGAAATCTAAGCACAAACTTGTAACACAATATCCACATATCATTTAAAAATGACAATATATTAATAAGAGCAAGTAACATGACCATGAAACAAAAGTTCTTGACAAAGAACTAGAATGTGGCAGCAAGACTACATTTTCACCAAAATCAACTCAAAATGACAAAACATGATAATGTATGATTAATGAGGAGTTTGAATGTCACATACCTCTTGTAGACAAGTCTTAAGCAAGCTAAAAAGCTTAAAAACCCAGAGATCCTTCTTCCTTTGCAAAGAGATAAAGCTTGCTTCCTCTTGAAGCAACAATCCACTTTTCAAGACAGTTGGAGTTGTGTGATTTCCAGCTGGTTTTTTATGGCTTAAACACTTGAGATATGATGTATAGGAGGTGTTAGGAGTGTTAGAATGGTAGGAAGTGCTTTGAGTGAGGATTTGGCTTTCAAAGTGGAAGAAAGTCAAACCATTAAGGTGTGAAGGTTGACTTTTGTGAAAATGAGATTTTGAGTGGTTTGAATGTATGGACACCTTCTAAACAATGTTTAGAGATTATGTAGATGGTTTTGAGGGGCTTAGAAATGGTAGAACTGATCTTGAGCAGAGTTTTGCTCAAGACAACTTTTTGGTGAAAAATGGAGGTTTTGAAAGTTTGGGATTCTTAAGGAAATGAGAAGGAATTGAGAGCTATTGTTTCTCTGAGTTTTGGAGATTGCTCTGGTGTATCTAACATCAAGGAAGATGCTTCTATTTATAGCCAAAACAAGAGTGAGGGCAGCTTGGTATTTTACCATTTTTGGAGGGAGATTTGTGAAGTTTTTTTCAAATGAATCTTGCAAAATCTCTTCCTATAAGCTCCATGGTTCAAAGAGGATCAGAAAAAATCAAGTGGAGATGGACATGAAGTGACTTAGGTGAGTTTAGAGTGTAGGGTGAGCCAGTTGCAACAGTTTTGGAGTGAAAAGTTTCTCTCTCCTTCTTACACATTTGAATATTATATTACACAAGTTGCAACTTGCCTCTCTCTCTTCAAACCTTACATTTTTCTGCATTTCCCTTCATCCACACATCTAAACATAATATTGAATCATGATCCAAGGGTCAAGGATAGTTCAAGTTATGAAAATTTGAATTTTGAGAAGTGTTGGATTGTGGTTTCAAGTGTTGACAACCCTAACTTCCATAGTGCATAACTTTCTGCTCACACATGCTATTGAGTAGTTCTACCATAATTTAGAAAGCGCTTAAGTAGATCTACAACTTTCATGTTTTGGGGATTTCCAAATTCTTGATGGAACCAGGTTGAAAAACCCTTCCAAGTTGCTGAAAAAACCACTTAAAAAGGCTAAATAACTTAGAATTTTTCTAAGTTATTTCCCTTCTTAAAATGAATTTTGTCATAACTCCAATTCTATGCATTTTTTGATCATGGACCATTTTGATGCTTTTGTAGGATTTGTCAAGAGCTTTCCAATGAGCTTTGAACCACCTCAATTGGATGTGTGTTTGAGGAGTTATGGTCTTGCCCCTTTCAAAATCCTAATTCCCGACTTTTGCAATTACTTCCTAACCCTTGATCCAATGGTCATGAAATTTTATGGAAAGGTGTAATATGACATAAGGAACATTTTTGATTCACATCTTGAAGTCAAATTCCTTATGGTTGGAGAGTTGACTTTTCGGTCAACCGTTCGATCAATCGGTGACTACCGAGCCGACTGTTGACGATCCGAGTATCTTGAGGCCTTGAATCTTCTTGAATGGACTTCACTAAGCCATATAAACCTTATGAATTAAGATTTCATCATTAGAACACCTTTCATATCAAAAGTCAAACTACAGTTGACTTTTCCTAATCGAAAACCCTAATCGGGTCTGAGCTGCATTGTCTTCAATATTTGGGTGCCAACCTCAAATTGAATTCATATTTGAAGCAATGTAGCATCCTTGAACCTATTTCATGGGAAATCAATTCAAGACGTCGACTGATCAAACCATTGAAACCTCGACTTTTAATTGTGCGAAAACCCTAATTTCCCCTTTTTGCTTGGACACTGTGCAGATGAACTGGGTGATCATTCCAACTCCACCATGACTTCTGAGATACTCAACAGGCTTCTTCTTTACCTTTTTTTTGCTCCTTATGAACTCCCTCTGATGATTCTTTGATGACTTTGTGATAACAACACCCACCTGATGGCTCGTACTGATGCTTTTGATCAAAAAAAGAGGGCGGGCAAATTTAGGGTATGACAACGCCATTAGGGAATGGCGAACGCCATTGTACCAGAAGGCTTAGATTCTTCTCTTTGTCTGCTCTTCTGCGCTTCTTTCTGAATTTCTCGTGCAAATGCATTGATACTTAATAAAACCTGCAAAACAAACAAGAAACAACGTAAAAGCAATAAAACAAAGTAAAACTAGGAATGAATAACATGTGTTATGAGCCTAGAAACACGATGCATTTTCACGTTATCATTGCTCCTCTGGATAATATGTCATTCCATTCTGAAACGAGTGTTCAAAAGTAAAGGTTTATTTACTAAGGACTTAGAATAAACACCCTTGAGAACCAATCATCGGTAGAAATAAAGTAAGTTGTGTACAAGGTTAATTTAGGATTGTTAACGAATTCATGATGAAACTCTAATTCTTAACATGATTTTCTCTATTACTTTCTACTATCTTACATTGTTATGAATTACTCTTATTTACTCTTTTGAAACAAAACCCCAATCAAAACCCCCCTAATTACTTTTGTTTAACTAAAGTGAAACTTGAACCATATATCATCACGCAATACTTGAGATCGATACTTTGGGATTTCTCATTATTACTACATCGACATACACTTCCTAATTTATCGATCAACGTGTAAAAAAATTATAATAAGGACAACACCTTACCGCATAAGGTTGTCTGTGATGTTTAAGGTTTTTGGTTGTGTTTAAGATTAGTTCACGTAGGATTATGAGAAACTATATGTATTTTATTCTCGGAGAAAGATTATCTTCCTCAATTATGTGATTGAGGTATTTATTAAAAACCCTTTGTGAGTGAGCTTGAAAGCCAATAGCAGTTTGCCTTAACCCCCTGATCAGAAATTGTGGAGAGAGTGATTTCCTCCTCTCACTCATTCCTACAACCAATTAGTGATTAGACATTTCATCAGCTACATATGACGAGTTCGCCTCAGGAAAATCAAACCCAATTGGACGACTTCTTCCCATTTTTGACGACATATCACCTCGCAGCGTGATATCGCCCGAAGTTGAGGCAATTGGCTTATAAACTTCTCTTCCTAAGACTCGAAAAAAGTATTTCAATACAATTATCTTTAGACCAAATCTTCGACTGTGTTAAAATTTAAACCTCATATTAGAATAATACCAAACTAAAAAAAGCTTTTTATATAATTTAAATTTGTAGTAATTAAATTCAACTTGTTATCATGATCACTTGATTACATGTAGTTGCTTCTCTTGTTTTTTTTTCTACACTATCATCTTTTTGTATTTTAACTTCTCTATTTTATTTGCACTATTTAAATAAAGATTTTGAGTAAATATGCTTATACCTCTCAATTTAGTTTGACACCAATATTTTCAATCAATTAAATACTATGATTTAATATCACGAAATTTTCTTATTTTATTTTAAAATAAATTAAAATTTTAATACAATTTGTATTAAAGATTTTCAATATCAAAGAATTTACCAGAATTTTAATTTTAATTTTTCAAAAAAATAAATATTCATTTACATCTCATCATACACGACAAAAGGAAAAGGATAGTCACTAACCAATTAAGAGTAAACAGCATCACGTGCGTTGGCTGTACTCTCTCTCTCTCTCTATATATATCAACCCGTCCTACCAATACAGCCAAACACACCGGTATATAGCGCACTCTTAGAATCGCGAACTAACCCACCCGCACCCTATTTTAATTAAAAACAAAAAAAAAAACAATAGCTTACGATTTCGATTTCAACGTTTTGTTTTGAACGCAGTATAATCCGATTCCGGTTTCCATGGAAACAATCTCAAAGATCTAGCTTGTAGCAGACGAAGTTTTTTTTTGTGCCGATGGCGATCCTCTATGCTTTGGTTGCCAGAGGCACCGTGGTTCTGGCGGAGTTCAGTGCCGTCACCGGCAATACAGGCGCCGTCGCTCGTCGCTTACTTGAGAAGCTTCCAACCGAATCGGATTCCAGACTTTGCTTCTCTCAAGATAGATATATCTTCCACATACTCCGATCCGATGGCCTCGCCTTCCTTTGTATGGCCAGCGATACTTTTGGAAGTGAGTAGTTTCTGTTTTTTAATCTAATATCTGCAATATCCAATTCTCTAGTTTGAATTCCTTTTGAGGCCACTAATTTTGCTTGGATGAAAATTGATAAAATCTGTTGGTAAATTAAAATCTAATCTTAATGTTTGTGCTGAAGAAAAATGTTTATGGAAGAATCACTTCTCTCTTAAAAGATAGGGTTGACTTTGAATCTTTTGATTACATATAATTGGTCTTCGATTGCTTTTAGTTATTTGTAATTGATCTTCAATTACTTGCGAATCAACTACGTTGGTGAGCCGAAATTGAAAAAAAGGTGTGATTGAAGTCTGCATCATTGTTTATGTTTATGTGTTGTTAGTTCATCCATTAGGAGATTCAATTGTATTGCGAAGAGGTGATCTTGGCGTTTTTGAGTGTTTGGGATGTTATGGTGCTTGATAGTGGTATGACTTTCTCCATTGATAGTACAAAGTATGCAATTGCGTTTGAAGCAGAATCAAACAGTGGCTTCATTTAATTGGCATCATGTCTGATGTAGTCATTGCTTATGAATGACACTTTTCCGTAAGGAAATTGTCAGGAGCAGAGTCTGCGAACCATCATTAACTATAGGGACTGGACTGTCCAGATACTGCAGACTGAGCCTTGGGCTTATATTAAGCTCTTTCACCCTTTAGGCTTGGAACTCGCAGGAATGTTGATCATCCATATATTTCAGATTGATTCTTTAGCTTTACCTTTCAGGCTTAGAGCTAGAGGGATGTAGACCAACCTAGATATACCTAACCGAGCATGTGACATATGTATGAGGCATTCATATCTGTCTCCTCTAATTGGTACGGACTAAACTTAACGCAATAGATCGCTTGAACTTCATCTCAAATATTGATGAGACCAGCAGTTTAAAAGAGCACCCTTTGAATCCATGAGAATACAGATTACACACTGGGTAAGTTTGATTTCTAAGATTGTATCTTGAGTATTGGTCAAATTTAGCTAGAACCGTAATCATGTGAGTTAACCATACTCTCTTTGTGCAAAATGTTATGATACCCAATACCCTATCAAACTTAGACATGACTTTAAGTTATTTTTGAGTTAGCAATTGTTGAAGAAGTTTGTCCCGTAATTGTTTGACTAAATGTCTATACCACACGGCATTTTGATATGTGGTATTAGCTTCAGAAATTAGAGGAATTCCTGTTGTTGGGTAGTCAAACAATAGTTAATTCCAACAAGGCTTCCAAACCCAGGAAGAAACCTAGTGCCATCTCCCACATACAAGTATCTTACTGCATCAAAGAAGGTTTCCTTGAGAGGTTGTATATGGATTCTCGTTGTCCTCCAATGGAAAAATGTTAGCATTATTTCCATTTTTCTAAAACAAAAACCTACCCTTCATTTTAATAGTTTGCTTCTTTCACTATGAGAAAATTAAGGGCCAGTTTGATTTTTGTTTTTCTGAAACAATTTTGTGGTTTAAGAAAACCAAAATATCCATTTGATGCCTACTCTTTAGCCAAACAAATTGGAATTTGTTTCCATATTCTGTTGTTACAGTATAAATTGATAACATGTTTTAGTAGTTTATATTTTCTTTCACTTGTTTCCATAAATTCTTAACTCTCACTTCAAACCATGCCTATATGGCAGAGTCCTCAAACTATTATATAATTATTCTCAAAACAAAACTCATCAAACAGATTTTTTCAGTATTTGTATTATGTAAAATATTCTATAAACTACTTTTTAAAGCACAAATAGATCAGGCAAGCTCTTAGTTTTTGTTTACCTTTCTTGGGTAATCCTGGTTGAGCCTGTTTAGCAAGTAAAATAAGTAGCAAATCATCTGTTATTGCTTGTTACATGAGTGTCATTCATCTTAATACATAATAAAAGATACAGAGCTAATGATGCTTCCTATTAAGTGCATAAAATTTGCTATAACATTCATATAATGCTTTATAATATTGACTCTTGAGATCGAAATACATTTTCAGTTATGCTTCTCACTTTAAACAAGGTCATTTTTATTCCAATGATGGAATTAGCTATAATTATTCCTAGAATCTGTCAACTAGTAGTAATATTATGCTTGTATTTGGTAGGTAGATCTATAACTTCATTTGAGGCTCCACATATCTACAAACTGTTATCAGAGAAAACAGTCTTAGTTTTTTGTTTTTTTAAATTGACTACATAATTATTACCTTCAATTTAACTTGTCCAAGCTCTTGTGAATTTTCTCTCTATTTTTTTTTTCCGTGAAAACCAATCTGTTCAAAAATCGGTTTATAGGATTAGTGTATTTATCTCTGCATCAACATTGACTAACAGTCATAAGCATATTTGTAGTCAATGAGTGATGAAGCAAGAACTTACTGTTCCGTCTTATTCTGTTACTGTTTTCATGTGTTTACTATGTCTGACTTTTTTTTTTCCAGGGAGAATCCCTTTCTCATACTTGGAAGATATCCAAATGAGGTTTATGAAGAACTACAGCAGAGTTGCCAATTATGCACCAGCTTATGCAATGAATGATGAGTTTTCAAGGGTTTTGCATCAGCAAATGGAGTTTTTTTCTAGTAATCCCAGTGTTGATACACTCAATCGTGTGAGGGGTGAAGTTGGCGAGGCAAGTAATTCCAAAGAAATTTGTATCCCTCATTATTCTGTCTTTTGATGTTTCCCCACCCCATTATTTTATTTATTTAAGTTCATGGCATGATAGGGAAAGTTGTGCTCTTGTTAGTTTAATATGCAACACTTTTCTGTTGATAAATTTACCATATTCCTTGGTATGCCCTGCGAGCCAACTTGAACATATAATTATCTGATTGCTATAACAGCAACAACTCATCTGGTTTGTGAGGCTAATGAAAAACACAAAAATGATAATATGATTTCAATACACTTGTTTATTCTCCAGTGTTAGTTTCGTTAAAAATGAATGTCACAATGAGTTATTATATATAGGAATTATCTTTGTATAGAGTTGGTAGACTACGTATAGTTATACCCTCTTGACTTGAAATGTGCCGAGTGCTTTTACAAAAAGCATCATATGCTGATTATTTTGCAGCTAGCTTCTGAAGAGTGTATTGGATTTTAAGTTGTTCCCAATTCCCATGTTGTAAATGTCACTTAAGTTGTTAATGCTTGTCATTCATGTGGTAAGGCTGTTTAAATCCTATGACATAGTTGATAACATTAGAATTTTCACTCTATCATTCAGATACACACTATCATGGTGGATAATATTGAGAAAATATTGGAGAGAGGCGACCGGATTGAACTTCTAGTTGACAAGACAGCAACAATGCAAGACAGTTCATTTCATTTCAGGAAGCAATCCAAGCGCCTTAGAAGAGCTCTTTGGATGAAAAATTTCAAACTCTTGTGAGTGAAATCTCTTTCCTTAATATAAGTAATATATATTTGAAAAGTAAAGATTTTTTATCAGGAGCACCCAAATTCTTCGGATTTATTGTGAAAAGAAAAATGGATTTGATTTTGCATTTTTTGTCTTATCCTTGCTTGACTCTATGTATTTTGATATTTGACAGGGCGTTAATGACGTGCTTGATTGTTTTACTCCTTTACTTTATAATTGCTGCTTGCTGCGGTGGCATCACTCTATCATCCTGCAGATCCTAATTGTCTCTCCTGGTGGTTCATATATTTTCTGAGCTCTGCAATGGTCAAGATTCCTGTCAATATCTCTACCTTGAAAGCTTCAGTATTATGAGCTGAGTGGGAAAATTTGGTAAAGGAACTAGAAACAGTTACGCACATTTTCTCCCTTTCGTTGTTCTTGGTTCTGTATTATAAAATTACACACGAAAGCCAGCTGTGGTGCTATTTTGTGATTATAGGACATCATTATGTAAATGTGGATTTTTATTATCTTTTATGGTCTAGGTTTACATTGTTTATAAATTATTGCAATTTTCTTGTACACATTAGCGCTTTTGTATGTCGGTTCTTCACATTTCAACGCAATGCTGGTTTAGTATGTTAAGTTGGTAATAAATTGTGGGAAATGCTGTTTCCAGTCCACCGTTATATGTACTCTCACACCACTGAAAAGTCATGTCTGTCAATAGCATGAAAAGTATGTTTGGATGTGAAGAGAAAATAAGGAGAGAAATAGGTGAGAAATAGAAGAGAGAAGTGTTCATATTTTTAAAAGTACAAAAATACCCTTACTTTTTAGATTAAATAAAATAATTTATTAAATAATTTATTATTTAATTTAATTAATTAAATTAATCTCACTAATCCAAAAAAATCTCACTCATTACTAATTCAAATAATTTAAAATACTAATTCTAATTATTAATTAATTTAATACATTCACATTTTTGGTTTAATTTTAATTAACTAATCAATTTATATTACATTACTAAAAATTTGTCTTTTTACAGAAAAAAACCGTTAAACTACTTCATTATTAAAAAAATACTATAAGTTCATGCTATCTCACTCTATCAAATTCTACCATTGCAGCGATAATGTGTATTCATTAAAAAATAATTGTAAATAATTAGGGTCATTTTTCGTCACATTTCTTCTCAAATGGGGGAGAACAAGAAAAGAAAAGACAGTGTTTTAAAAATTGGACCGGTCATTGATTTGGTCTGATTGTTGGATAAAATATGCTATTGAACTAGTGAGAACCAGTCAGAAGACTAAAACTGTTAAAAGTCAGTGAAGCTTTTGGAAAACCAGCAGTTTAAATGCATGTTTTTTTCTTCATAATAATTTTGATAATTTATTATTTTTTAAATAAATTTAAAATATAAGTAGACTTTATTCAAAATTTATTTAAAATAATTTATCTTCTTTTTTAATCATATATTGTTTAAAATTTATTTGAATTTGTATTTTCTACTATTTTGTCGTGCGTGATGACTACATCAAGAATTTGAATTTAAAGAATTAACTTGTGAAATTATGATATTTTGAAATTTTATAAGTGTCGTGATATTTTTAAGACGTAGTCATCCGGTTCGACCGACTTATTAAATATATACTATTTTTATAGATGCTGGTTTATTCAGCTGAGTTATCCGATTTAATCCGGTTTAGTCATGCAATTTGACCAATATCCCAGTGGTTCGACCAATGAACCAGCGACCCAATACCTTCATCGGTTTAATGACCGATCCGATTTTTAAAGCATTGAGAAAAAAATGTCGATCCCACCATTATTTGGTCTCTCTTCCCTATTTCTCTTCAATCCAAATAGAAGAAATCATTTATCTCTGTTACTTCTCTCTCACTTATTTCTCTCTTATATGTTTCTCTTGTTCCAAACACACCTTAAGAGACGTATTTTCTGAAGTATTTTTTTTTTGCACACATCTCAGATAAAATTGTTGAAAGAAACTCTTATTCTATTAAAATTTGATTCGGAAATGCATCTCTATATATTTAAAAGGTTAATTCAGAGATGTATCTCCGTAACTCCTTTAATTCAATATTTAATGAGTTTTTTAAAAATGTATCTCCGGATACACTTTGTTAATTCCAACTTAATTCAAACTTTAAACAATGACAAAATAATGGAACAACAACATAAATTAACTTCAAAATAAACATTACATAAATAAAAGTTAACGCTAATATAAATTTAACATTAAATTTAATTCTAAATTGGTGGTTCAGAACTTTGCAACATCTTTAGAATATCTCTCGTCGATCTTGCATTTGTTGTGTCCACTTTAATTCAATCCTTTGTTGGATAACGGTAAAAGGTACTCCACATAACCTTTAAATCATCATTTGTCTTCATTTCAAACATGGTGAAACGATATTCGAGTTTGACAACTCTTTCGTTTTTTCTATATCATAGGAGAGTATTCAATTTGAATTTCAGATCAATGAGAAGTATGTCTTCGGAAACCCGAAATTGAAGTGAAGGTTTTGCGCCAGTATTTATTCAGGTTTGTGTAAATAAAATGGAATGAGAGACTTTATTTATAGAAGTTGTGGATCAATAAAGATCTTACAAACCTATCATATCATCAGGGATTTTACGGAGATGCAATCCGTATAGTTTCATATTTTGTTTTTTTGTATAATTTTAAAATACGTTTATAGATGAATCTTTAGATATATCTTGATTTTTCAAAAATAGGAAATAAGATTTACGGAGATGAACATCCGTAAAGTCTCTTAAATTATTTTTTTATAATTAAAAAATGTGTGTGAAAATGTATCTCCGAATCCACTCAATTTATGACTATTCACACAAAATTATTATCTAAGAAAACAATCTTAATTTTTAGTTTTTTTTTAAAATTTTAAATTTACTATATAATTATTACTTTCAATTCAATCTGTCCAAGCTGTTGTGAATTTTCTCACATTTTTACGCGCAAACCAATCAGTTCAAAAATCGATTTATAGGATTAGTGTATTTATCTCTGCATCAATATTGACTAACGGTCATTAGCATATTTGCAGTTGATGAGTCATGAAGCAAGAACTTACTGTTCCGTGTGTTTCATGTGTTTACTTTGTCCCATTTTTTATTTATCCAGGGAGAATCCCTTTCTCATACTTGGAAGATATCTAAATGAGGTTTATGTGAATATTTATATTTATCCAGAGAGAATCTCTTTCTTATATGTGGATATTTATATTTATTTTTATACATTAAAATATAATATTTATTTATTTCATTTTAAATTATTTAGATAGATGATTAATGATTAATTAAAAAATCAAGACTTTTTTAAAAAATCTAATTTATTCAACAATATCAAACTCTTATTTATTTGCACTTTTATTTTATTTTAAGTAAAGTAAATAATTATTTGTCTTAATTAATTTTATTTTACTTTTAAATTAAAAAAATCAAAAATAAATTTATTACTCATACCACAATTTCAAAGTCATTTTCAAAACCAAAAACAAATAATTTTATAACTGATATGGGGTGATCAGAATGGATCGTCGTGACTTTCAATGTAGGGCGACAACATTGATGGTTGTACGAAAGGAGGGGGTGTACCTGCAAGGTGCTCCAATGCCAACGTAAGTTTGGGCTAGAGAGAGAGAGAGAGAGAGAGAGAGAGAGAGAGAGAGAGAGAGAGAGAGAGAGAGAGAGAGAGAGAGAGAGAGAGAGAGAGAGAGAGAGAGAGAGAGAGAGAGAGCAAATACAAAGTGTTTAGGTATGAGTTAGAATGATTTTAATATCCGACCCTCTCAAGCGAGAGGGTATTTATAAGAATTCTCCAACGCGGAGCCAAGGTCTCTGATGTGGGCGTAATATCTGATCGATCAATGGGAGACTGCTAGGTGGAAGATCTAGCGCGTGATCTTTGACCTAATCCAACTGTCCTCGAGAACTCCGGAGGGGCAGTTGGTCGCGTGAACTATCAAGCGCATGAGGGGGATGTCCCCAACGACTATATTTTCTAACGGCTATATTGTGCCCAACGGTCATATTGTGCTCAACGACTATGTTGTGCCCAACGACTAGATTTTCTTAATCTCCTTATTGAGCCTTGCCTAAAGCTGGACTGGATTGGGCCTTGCCTAAATGTGGGCCATGCGCTAGTCCATTTCAGAACAGGAGCCCCCCAAGTCGTTGCTCTAAGGTGAAGAGTAATGACTTGAGTTAGCCTTGCTGGTCGACCGATGGGCAGAAGTTACGTCGCGGGGAGGCTTTTCGAAGTCGTTATTTTTCGAACGAAAATCTTCAGGGATGTGTCCTTCAATTGTCTATGGTTAATATGGTCGACTGTTGATTGTTTGTGGTCTTCCTTGGGATGCAAGGACGTGGTCGCGAAAGGAATGTTTTAAGTCGACCAGACTTACGCTTAAGGTAAAGAAATATCCTGTCGATGAGGCTTTTGCTCGGATGATATCCTGTGAGCCTTGTCGAGGAGGATGTGCCCGCGGAGAGCTAAAGGGAACTTTTCTTGGGGAATGTAAAGTGTCAGCCTTGAGGATGCCAAACGAAAGATTTCCCTTTTGACATGTGTGATGGTGTAATCAATTTTTGTTAAGGTCAAGGAGGTCTAGGCTAGCTAGGCAATGATGGCTCATGCTATTTGCGCTTCTCTATGCGAGCAAATGCTTATAAAAAGGGGGAACGAGGATTCATTTTCACACTTCACGCAAATTTCTCTCCTCAACCTCTTTTTCTATGCAACTTGTAGTCTTGCATTCTTCGCCGGAGTTCTCTTTATTGCCGTTGATCCTCATATTCTTCCTCCAAATCTTCATCTTCAACCTTTCGATTCAAGTAAGTTCTTCATCCTTGCTTGTTAGAAATTAGGGTAGTTTTTTAAATTTCTGGAAACTAGCTTGAATTTTCCGGCGAAGCATGAGTTTTTCAGTTGAAGTTCATGTGTTCTTCAATGAACACATGAATTTTTTGGGAAATTCATGAAGATCCTAAAGAATATGAATCTAGGATGTTGCGTAGAACTATGTAGATCTTCCTAGGTTTTTGTTTGAAATAGCATATGTTCTTGGTCGGGCATTAGGCCTCCTCGACGTTGAGAATTTATTCTCGCGTGCCTGATAAGTTTTAGTTGTCGAGGGGGCTCGTCCCTGTCGCTACTGCAAAAATCGTCGCCGGCTATGACAGAAGACTCGCCACCGTGCGTTATTTATCCCAACGGAGGGAAAGGAAACAC